TGAAAATGGCCCATTTCCAGCAATTGACAAGGAGATATGAGGAACTGTAGGGGGGTGGAAAATAAGCATGGGGAAATAGTTTTACTTTGGGCCATTTTCATTACCACTACAAACAGTTCTTTTCTTCTCCTGCTGATAAAAGATCACCTTAACTGATCACTCTCCTTATAGTGTGTATGGTAACACCCATTGTTTCATGTTCTCTGTGTGTATGTGTGTATATATATATATTATATCTTCCTACTGTATTTTCCACTACATGCATCCGATGAAGTGGGCTGTAACCCACGAAAGCTTACGCTCAAATAAATTTGTTAGTCTCTAAGGTGCCACAAGTACTCCTGTTCTTTTTGCGGATACAGACTAACACGGCTGCAACTCTGAAACCTGTCTTGTGGAAAAGAGGCTTTTGGGTAAAAAAATAACAGCCATATATGTTCTAGCATTTTTTAAAATTAGGTTTATTTTTAACATTCAATTTACAGTTCAGATTATGAATACTTTTTTCTTAATGCTTTGGATATTGTCACCAACAGCCCGATTCAGAGAACATGTTCAGATTAATACAAGTAGGTAAATTTTTTGAAAATATAAAAGGAAACCTTTACAGACTTTCAAACTAGATTTTATTTATCTGATACAATTTATTAGCATTCCACCAAGACATTAGTGACAGATTCCATTTCATTGGAATATTAAGAATGGTATTGATAGAGAGTGACTGTTAGTTTGTATGGTTGTTCTTTAAATGACAAGGAATTGAGGAGAGACAAAGCAGAATTGGAAAATTAGAAGAAAAATAAGAACCTGGGAGGATTCCAAATAGACAAACAGTATTAAAGCACAAATGATGGACTTTCCTTTAAAGATGAAGCACTTCAGGCAGAGAATTGGTTAAAATGCATCCAAAGGGTCATCTTAAATCCCCACTGAAGATACAATTAGCTACAACATTTTGTCCAAGTCCATCCTAATAAACAATATTAAAAGTTTGTAATGTGGGGATTCTAATTTTTTGGAGTTGTCCTAGACTAAAATACTATTCTAAAATTTTTATACCAAATATAAATGTGAGTTGTACGCTGTCAGGCAACTTGTAGGACAGTGAGAAGTTTAACATAGAAAAATGAATTGAATAGCGTGACGAACTGGGACTGTTCTTACTGTGGTCTGTGAATGCTGACAGGGCAGTGTGGCGAGGATAGTCTGCATTGGGGGATGGGAGACTGACTGATGGAGAATACCTGAGCATGTAACATGAGAACCCAGGAAGGGGTTAGAGGCCAGGTGACACCTTTGCCCGGGAAACTGAGCAAAGGCTGTGGGAGGGGTCGCTGAAGGCAGAGTTTCAGGAGCTGGCTGGTGATATGGCTGGGAGGCAGACGGGGCTCTGACCTCCTAAGGGGGCTGGGGTGCCCTGGGACCTCAAGATGGACCTAACTGAGGGAGGGTCCTGTTGTCTGTGCCTGCAAGACCTGTCTTGGACTGTATTCCTGTCTAAATAAACCTTCTGCTTTACTGGCTGGCTGAGAGTCATGGTGAATCGCAGGAAGCCGGGGGTGCAGGGCCTTGTGTCCCCCCACACTCCGTGACAAATAGTAAAGCAGATATCCTCAATAGCGTGTTACGTGGATCTTTGTGTTTGGGTGGATCGAGATCTGTATGCACTGTTCCCTTTAACCAGTATTGTTGTAAGCTTCCAGCTGCTTGGCTTCAACATGCTTTTTCATAAATGACATTCAGTACCTAGATGTAGCCATCAGGGAAATAACCTACTTCCTTCCCTGACGAACCAAGGGATAACCCCACCCCCCATGTACTTATTCGCTACACTGATACTGACTTGGACTCTTTAATACATTCCATGGGTGGCATACCCGAGCCCACTTATCCACTGACGCTTTAAAAACTCCCGCACCCCAATCTGGGTCTATGCTGGTTATATGACATGTATGTATCTCATGATCCTTGTAACCGATACCTGTAATCCCTCTTAACTCAAGCCTGACCCCAGATGTACAGTACCTTCCCTCTTAACTTGTGTATATTTAATTTTAAACGTTAATAAAAAATGTAAATCTGTTCTCTCAAAGAAATTTCTGCTTCACAGAATTTAGCCAGCTTTAGTTGCAATCTGATCCCTAATTGAGGGAAATTATTTTCTTGCTCATTCTGACCAGTGATTTGTGCAATACTGACTGAGACTAGCTGATTTTAAATGATTGACTAGTTAAGGCACATAGCTGCCAGGGCAGATTCATTTGCATGGTAAGATTGAATAGTCAGATGACTATTAGAGATCCATACTTTTTTCTTTTTTTGAGGTAATAGAGCAATTCTGAACAGCCTCAAAAGTAGATTAAATCATACACATGAGTGGGGAAACAGTTTTACCCTTTTCCATTTTAGACATTTCTAGAAGAAAGCTTCATGGTTGTAACTTTGCAGTTTTGTTCTCAGCACAAGTCTGAGACATCATGTTGCATTTGTAGCCTACATTCGGATACAGCATTCCCTCCCTTTTGTACGGTAAAGTAGAGCACCATGGAACACGTATACAATATACTGTCTGTTCTTTTCTGTTGTCTAGGAACTTGGAAGCTCCAGAGATTCCAGTATACTCTGTGAAGGGCCATAAAGAAATCATAAATAGTATAGATGGCGTAGGTGGCTTAGGGATTGGAGAAGGAGCACCAGAAATTGTGACTGGGAGCCGAGATGGTGAGTTAGCAAGCCTTAAAGTTTTTAATCTTTGCCAAGAAAATACTATTTAGAAGATTTGATTGGAGTTTGTGGGCCCAGTCCACATTGACTTTACAAGAAACTTTAAAAACTGGCCTAATCCTGTTGTGAACTTGGTTATAGCCAAACAAGATAAAATACAGTTTAGCCAGCTCATGTGGGGCCTAGAAGGAATTGGTTAGCAGCAGCTTATCCAGTTGGGAACATTCACTGCCTTAATTTACTTTCTTCCATGTAAATCATAGTGCCACATTACTGGTGCTTTTGAACTAACTCCCCTTCTAGGGTCTGGCTTATCAACATAAATAACAATTCAATTCAAAGCAAGTCTTCTAGCTCACTCTCCAAGACTTCACAGTCCTTTCAAGCCCTCCCTAGATTCAAACAGTTTTTTCCCTGATGGTGCAGGGCCAGTGAATGGGCTCCCTCCCACACTCTTCTTGACTGTTAGTCCAGATCCAAGGCCTCCAGTCTGGCCTTTCTTATAGACCCTCCTAACTGAGGTTCCCTTGCCCAGCAGGCTTAGCCTCCTCAGGGGTCTCTCTCTTCACTAACTGACTGAGCCATAGGTGTTTCCTATACTGTAGCCATGTCAGAGGACTTACTTTAGCTTGGCATGTCCTTCCTACAAGTCCCAGAATGCCACTTCTTAAAGCAGCCAAGGCTGGCTGACTCAAGGTCACAGCTGCCCTTAAAGGGATAGAGGCCCTGTTACACATTGTCATGCCTTTTGGTGTTCATGTATAAGGTGGAATCTTTTAAAGCCATTTGCAACTTTTTTTAAGCAGCTGCTGATAGCTATAACAGAGGTATCTACAGGTGGCTCCTGTGACTGCTGCTATTAGCCCTATGGTATGTTGAAAATTGCCCAGTGAGGACTGAACTTTGTTTCCAAAAAAAAAATCATGGTTTTGAAAACCAATGCAATTAAATGTGGGGGTGGGGAGGAGATGGCAGTTTACACTTGAGTGCCAGTGGGAAATCTGGTTTGCTACTTAAGTTTTGTTGATTGCCAGAGTTATTGATTGCTCCAATCCATTACCACACCTTGGCAGTTATTTTTCTTTGCCTAGTGAATTTGGCAGTGCCGAGGTTGGTCTCTTCAACTATGGGAACCCTTGGTTGCCATCAGATAAGGTTACAATTATATTGCAACCAGATCTATATGCTGTTTGTTCTATTTTGAGTCCAACACGGGACAAAGTTTTCATTTAGAGGCTGTAGCAAAAAAACAAAAACAAAAAACAAACATCAACATAATGGAGAGTGGGAGGGAAAGAATATGAAACAAGGTAAATACAAACTATGGCAAATGAGCTGTGGAAACTGTACCACTTCCATGGAGTGATGATAGGGTTAGAAAGAAGGAAGAAAGCTAGAACTTAAACCAAACTATATACAATTCTGTTTATCAATGTGAATCATACTATTCCTTAGTTGAAATTGGATAGACTGTGTATCAGTGAACTTTTAAAGTATTGAAACAAATCCTTTTCCTCATTTCTGCTCTGTTTTTTTTCCTGTAAATGCAGTCAGCTTTGTTAGAGAACAGACATGCAAATGTTTGTAATGTCTTCCCTAAAGCAAGTTGAAGAGTGGAGAATGCATACAATACGCGACTGTATTAGTAATCTAAAATCCAGTATAATTATTATTACAGGAACCGTGAAAGTGTGGGACCCAAGACAAAAAGATACACCTGTTGCTAATATGGAACCAGTACAAGGCGAGAGCAAGAGAGACTGCTGGACAGTAGCATTTGGTAAATTGATAAGCTTTTCAGTCTGTAACTTGCAAGCAACAAAATATCTATCCATCTGGTCTGCCACTGGAAGCAGGGGGGCAATAATCAAGACAATCAAAACAAACAAATCGTGACTCTTTCTGTTAAACTTTCTGAGGCAAGAAATGTGATAATGTCCAACTTATACTACTTTCTGTACTTTTTAACCCATGCCATTCTTGCAGTGCCTTTTGGTTCTGGGAAATGGCCAATTACTGCTTTTCCTTCCTCTCACATGGCTCTTCTGTGTTCAGCTGTGTATGGGGGAAATAAACTGGGATTTACCCTGAAGATATTTAGTGCATCTTTCCCTTTAGTTGTGCATTTTCATTCAGAAATAATCTGATCCTTCTGCCTTTCCTGATGTGAATAGTCTTTACACATGCAAATGGCACTTCAATGGGATAACTTGCATAAGTAAAGACTAGATAAGTACCTTAGTACCTCATACAGTAATTAAGTTTTGTATGGAGATCGCCATAGCAGATGCTGCTTTTCACTGCTCTCGTGTTCCTTAGCTTTTGCTTACTACATAGCATTGTTATTCATTGTCTTTTTGCAAAAACTTTCCCAAAACCATCAAAGACAAGTCTTGCAACATACTCTGAAAAGAATCAGGTTTGGACCTAATTTACAAAAAGACATAAGGCTATTCCACAGACAGTGGCCTCCTGCAGTGAAGGTCTTATCTCTGACTCTGGAAAGATTAATCCCAGTACTTCTAGCTGCATTGTCCAGGAAGAATTTAGCTGACTCAGTGGATTGAGCGCCTGTGTCTGATGTAGCACAGCTCCAACTTAAGTGCTTTAAATATTAAGAGCAGAGTGTTGAACTGGGAACTAATGGAGTGAGCAGAGTATCCGTCTGTGTTTTCAGCATTTTTCTTGCTAAGGAGACCAGTTGCCGTGTTCTGTACAAGCTGGTGTTTTTGGGTTCCTCCATCATTGGCCAGAAATTCAGTGAGTTAAATTGATCAGCCTAGTGATAAATGCTTGGATTACTGTCATTAAATCCATAGTAAAAGCTGTAGTTTTCTGGTAAAATAATGGAAGGCATTGCTTATTACTGAAACAGGTGGGAGTTGTCTGTTTATGCTCTCTGTATGTGTGTGTATATATATCTCCTCAATATTTATTCCACTCTATATGCATCCGAAGAAGTGGGCTGTAGTCCACAAAAGCTTATGCTCTAATAAATTTGTTAGTCTCTAAGGTGCCACAAGTACTCCTGTTCTTTTTGCGAATACAGACTAACACGGCTGCTGCTCTGAAATCTACATGTACAGTGCTGCTGCGCCTCTGTAACACTTAGTGAAGACACTACCTATGCCGAAGGGAGAGCTTCTCCATTTGGTGTAGGTTCTCCACCTCCCCAAGAGTTAGCAGTTATGTTAATGAGAGAAGATCTTCCGTCGATATACAGCTGTCTACATCGGGAGTTAGGTCGATATAACTGTGTCATCCAGGGGTGTGGATTTTCCATACTCTTTAGTGATGTACTTATATTGACAAAAGTTTGTTGTGTAAACCAGGGCTAAGACCCAGAGACTGTGTACTGTATATATAGAGAGCTGGAAGGGACCCTGAAAGGTCATTGAGTCCAGCCCCCTGCCTTCACTAGCAGGACCAAGTACTGATTTTGCCCCAGATTCTCTAAGTTGCCCCCTCAAGGATTGAACTCACAACCCTGCGTTTAGCAAGCTAATGCTCAAACCACTGAGCTATCCCTCCCTCCTACTACCTTGACAAGTGATGTGCAGAGCCTTCACTAGCTTCTCATTAGTTCCTTTTCCCTTCAGCATTGCTTAAATCTTGCCTGAGTTCAGTCTGAGCCATCTGCTCATCACCCTGCTGCTAATTTCTTTCAGACAGTGATGCATAGGTGATTGTGTCAGCTGAGAAGGCATTACAGAGCTTGGTGTCACCAATATATTTTTGGCAACAGCTCCCATATCTCTCAGATCCTTTCCAAGAGTTCTACAGATACTGAAGATGAGGGAGACAGTTTTGATCTCTGTGGAACTCCATATGCGAGGGCTCTTAGAGATGAGCCGCTTTTTGTCATAATTTCTTGGGTCCTGTTTGAGAGAAATGATTCATAATAGTGTTGCATCATCCCCTACAGCTAGGTCTTGTAAGCAGGTCAGTAGTGCTCTATGATGGAATGTGTTGAAGACTGCAAGAGAAGGTCTACTAAAGTTGTCTCTGTGCTGTGCTGTACTGCAAAGCCTGTGTATGGTTCAGAGTATAGTCAGATGCCGCATGCTTTTGGATTACGTATGTGAGTAGGAGTATCAGGATCAGGCACGTCATCTGCTGTTTAGAGAATATTGTATTTTTAAATTGCATGAATTAAATATATTAGAATATTTTCTGAAAATTCATCATATTATATAGGAGCAGAGAGAAGTTGTCTATAGTTTTCCAGGCACCAACATCTATTTGAACTGATATGCAGAAATTGGTTATTAGACCCAGGAAGATATATTGGTAAGAAGACGCATCCATTTCTGGAGGAGATGCATACATGTATGAGGTGGTGTATGCAATTTAGGCAGAAATCAGGGGGTGAGCAGTTGGATACTTTTGTTTTAAGATGTAGAACTAGCTATTTTGAAGACTACTTGAAAATCAGATCCTTCACCTAACACATTCATTACAAACATTCCAATTACGTTTCTGGCACAAATACAGGTTAAAATTGCAGACGTTCGTTCATGACTGTTTTACAGTGTGATGGGGATAATTTTTTATACATCTAAATAGTTGTCTCTCTATTTCCAGGCAATGCCTACAATCAAGAGGAGCGTGTTGTGTGCGCTGGCTATGACAATGGTGACATTAAATTATTTGACCTAAAAAACATGTCATTGCGATGGGAGACCAACATTAAGAATGGGGTAATGTGTCGTAAAGGCATGTTTTAATTTATATTTGTTTGTAATGTGGAAGAATTAAAGGGTCACTGTATCTATTTGAAACCTACTCAGATTCTCACCAGGATAAAATCTACGGAGGATTTTTTCTCCACTGGGTCAACAAATCCTAGTTCATGGATTCTTAGGTTGGGGATCATTCTTTTCTTTATGGCTAGATGGACAGGCCCTGAAACTCATTTCTTTTGTAACTTGTGCTCACAGCAGGGAAGAGGTTGAGAACCATTGTCCTATTTTGTTTGTTTTCAGAGTATGCTGCAGGTCCTATCAATTTATGCAGGTATTTTGAGAGCATGCTGTTTGAGTGGGTTCAGGTGTTTTTAGATGATTTTGTTGAATCTGGTTATGTCTTAAGTCAGTTGCATTCTTATTACCATTGTAAATGTACCTAGAGATTATGATGGCCCATATTTTACAAATCTAAAATAAATCCTTCTTCGTTGATAAGCTGACTTTCAGAATGAATGTGTGTGTGTTTATATTTCCAGGTTTGCAGTGTGGAGTTTGACAGGAAAGATATAAACATGAATAAATTAGTGGCCACATCGCTCGAAGGAAAGTTTCATGTTTTTGATATGAGAACTCAGCATCCAACCAAAGGTTTTGCCTCCATTTCAGAGAAGGTACAGTATAAGGGAAGGCTGTTCTTGTTAAGGGAGAAATGTCATACTTACTCTTGCAAAGCTGCTCTGGACACCTTGCAAGCTTAAAGTTATTACATAGGAGGTGTGAGGATGGGCAGATTGAATGTTCATTGGCAGTCATATGATGTGATGAGCACCCCATCATCCAACTGACTTCAATGGGATTTGTGAGTGCTAGGTACCTGTTAACATCTGACCTTAACTTCAGAAAACATGAACCAACCATATGAAAGGTAACATACATCACTTCAAGAGGTGGAAAGTGGGGAAGGCTTTCTGTATATTGCTGTGTGGGGGACTCAGGCTCAGCTTCTGCTCCTGATCTACTCACTGAGGAGGAGGGAGTGTTGTCATTCAGCAGAGTTTCCTTTTGTCCATTTAAGGCCAGGGTTTTTGTGGGTGGACTTGGCCAGAAGGATGCTCACCACAATATGAGATATTGAGGAGGATGTAAAAGCAGAGAAATGAGATATGTGGAGGATGTCCACTACTTGCAGGCCAGCGGGACATATGTGAATATTGAGTTCTCTCTAGATGTGATAGCCTATCCTGGAGCACACCACTTATTAGCTATCAGAGATGATGGTCTTTTCCAGTGCTTTAGTATTCTTATTTATTGGTCTAATAAGTAGATGTGTACCCTGGAAGTTTAATGTAAAAGTGATTGCAATCTAAAGTGATGGGATTTGAATCTTAATTGTATCCCAAGATAAAATGAGTTATTCTGAGTCTAGTGCAATGGTAACAACAAGGAGTCTGGTGGCACCTTAAAGACTAACAGATTTATTTGGGCATAAGCTTTCGTGAGTAAAAACCTCACTTCTTCGGATGCATAGAGTGAAAGAAAGGTTCCCAGAATGAAACACTAAGGGTCCACAGAAAAACAAGCAGTTTGTGACTGGGGATATAGGGAGTGGAGGTAGGTCCAGAGAGAAGATCTTCTATACAGTGGTCTACAGAATGCAAAAGATGGAGAATCTTTGCCCTAGTGGCCTCTCTCTTCCTCCCCAATATCTCTTACCCACCATATTATTTGGTGCAGTTCCTGTATGAGTAGCAGTCTGACAGAGTAAAATTCACTGGCAAGACCGGGCATTTTAATGATAAATTTACTCATGTGACTGTTTTGAATAATAATAGGTCAATGTCAATCTATTATCCTTAATTTGCTTCTTTTTGACATCATCAAAGCTTGTAATAGATGAAACGTATTAATTTATTTGGTGTTCATGGCAATCAAAACATTAAAATGAAAATCCTATCATAATTTGTGTTAATTCCTTTTGGGACATATGCAAAAACTTGCTTACTAGCAGAGATTTATAATTGAAGCCTTTTTTGGTTTGTTCTGCATCTTGCTACATGACCTGCTTACATGATTTAGATTTGAATTTTATATTTACTCATTTTTTCATGGCTTTTGTGATACGTGTGATAGCAAATTCTGGTAATTGTTGAAAAGAGTCATAGGCTAACGGTAATAATTATCTTTATAATGACTACTTCATATCTGAATATGGAAATCCAGTAGTTACATGATTTTTGTATCTGATTATGGCCTTGCAAGCACATGTGCACGTTTAACTTTACTTACCTTACTAGTCATACTGAAGGTGAATACTCCCTTGAAAGCAACTACTAATATGCTTAAAGTTACTCTAATCACTCACAGATATATTTATCAGGGCTTAAGTCCTTACTTATAAGACTAATCTGTAACTAATTTTTGTCTAACTCTGGTATTTATTAGGCTCACAAATCCACCATGTGGCAAGTTCGGCATCTGCCACAGAACAGGGATATCTTTATCACTAGTGGAGGAGCTGGGAGCCTTCATCTCTGGAAATAGTAAGTGTTCACTATCCACTCTAAATTAGGTGAAAAAATAACAAAACTACCATGTATTGTAAAAAGTCTTCCTGGAAAATGAGTATGGAGCCCATGTTCAAACCAAAAATGTATTTAAATTCATTAAATTACAAACAATAGGTAATTTCTCACACCATGGCAGGACTCGATAATAGAGACTGAAAAAGTCCCTGCTGTAACTTGATTGGCATTGTGGGTTTACGACAAGGATGAATTTGGCTCTTGATCTTTAACCTAATATAATCAAGATCTAAATTATATTGTCAGTTAATGAGATGTTAAACTGAATAATAGATTTCTTAAAATTCTTGTTGTAGCAGGTATTGCTGAGAAGTGTATAAAAACCTTTGGACTTAAATTATTTAATAACACTTAGCATTTTACATATTAGAAGCTCTGTGCAAACATAAGTTAGTCATCATAGCAACTCCATGAGGTAAGTTAATATTATCCTTATAGTTATATATAGAAAGCTGAGAGACAGACGTTAAGTCGCTTGCCCAAGGGTAAAAACTAAACAGCTAACAAGTGACAAAGGGTATGTTAGAATTTGGGTGTTTCTGTCTCACTGCTTTATGCTCAGTTCACTAGACAATGCTGCTTTTCACATTTAGGATCTAATCCTGAGAGTCAAGGGGAGTTCATGGAGGATCCCTAGTCAGTTCCTCTGTGCAGAATGAGCTGGTTCCAGAGGACTGTACTTGGGGTGTATGTTCTCTACATGGCACAGAGCACTGCTCTGCGGTAACACTTCACATGGTAACAAGGAGTGGACACAGCCAATGGATCCTTCAGTTTCATCCCCTGGCCACCCTCTCTTACTCCTGTGTGTGGACTTTGTAAGCACCAGTGGAGCCTACTTCAGATGGAGTGGCTCCATAGCCTGGAAGTGAGAGATGCCTGGCTTGGTTACTGGCGCTTGGATGTTGGGGGTCTGAATTTGTTCCTTAACGCAGGGTTCAAATGGTGCTGATGGCCTTGTATGGATTCCCTGAACTGGGGTGAACTTTATCATGTAGCATTATATCCCTTATTCACTTAAATTGACTTAGCTGGATTAACTATGATTCAGTATATTTAGCACAGATGTTTTCAGTGTCTCTAGGAAACCCGAGACACCTTCTAATTGGACTTGTGAAAAACAAACAAATATGTGCGTTTGTGGGTGGGTATTTCTTGTAGTGTTTGTCTATGATACATATTCTAAAACCATGCTTGTCTGGTTTTGTTTTATTTCTTATTGGCAGTGAGTACCCTGCTCAGCGCTCAAAGAAGGATTCTGAAGGAGTTGAGATGGGGGTTGCAGGTTCAGTCAGTCTCTTACAGAATGTGACTTTGTCAACACAGCCCATTTCTAGCCTTGATTGGAGCCCTGACAAAAGGGGTCTGTGTGTCTGCAGTGCTTTTGACCAGACTGTGAGGGTACTGATAGTTACGAAGCTCAGCAAAATTTGACAAACGGATTTTCAGGACGAAAGCGACATAGTCTGAGGGGTGTATATAAAAGAGACTTTGTTATTTATAACTTGAATGTCTCCTTTAACAAAGCTGGTTTAAAGAATTAAAAAACAGATCTTTCTATTGAAAGTTCAGATAAATTGAGTTACAGTTGTTTGACTACATACTATGCTGCTGTTAGTTGGAAAAAGTTGCCTAGGCTTAACTTTTTTACCTTCTAATGTAAATTTACCTTTCAAATAAAATGTGCCTTCTGCTTAGTGTGTTTAAAATATCTGCAAGTTCAGAAATTATTTTAAACTGTATCTTCTCAATGTAAATTGCTTTTTTTCTTCAGTAGCACTATTCTGTTCACTCTTGTTAAATTGTTTGCTTTGTATGTTTTTATCATATATTTTTCCATTCTTAGTTATTAGGAAAACTATCCTATGATCCATCCTAGAAAATACATTGAAGGGATAGTAAATTTCTCTGACCTTACTTGACCATATTTGGCAGAGTATGTTTGTTAAAGTGACTCAGATTACTTCAATACATTTAAACACTTATTTAAAAACTAAGGATTTTTAAACTGAGGATTTCAGATTTTAAACATGTTTAATGAATGACCCTTTTCATGGAGATGGTATTGTAATTAAGATGTTCAGCAAAATGAGCAGTTTTTGTTATGGATCACTTTATATTCTTCTGTTCATTTTTAATTAATTTGTTACACACTATCCTACAATAAAAATATGTCGTGTGTTATTGTAATGTGAAGTATATTACCCAAGAAACAGAGATGTGGGGGAAGAATACATTTAATTAGGTTTGCAACAAAGGAAACAGTTTGTAGCAAGAAACTGGATTTGCTGCAGAATGATGTATTTTTTCCTGGTTTCTTCATTTTTGTTGTTTCTACCTTTAAAAGCTTTGTACAGCAGCCAAAGTAGTGGGATTTTTGATCAAATTAACCATAATAGCCATCAAATAGAAATCTAGTCAAAATCCAAAAAAAGAATTAAGTAATTTCAAGTACTGTATCTTCTCTGAGTCTCTGCCAATTTTTCCTTATTTTGTAAGTGTTTTTCTCCCCTTTTGTAGTTGTGTGAAAACATAAAATACTAGGTGAAACTGACTGCAGGGAAAACGGAAACATGAATATACACAATCCAGGCAAATTCAGAGTGAAAAAACTGGGCATAAGACCAATATTATGTACATGTGTGCATGTATAGTAATGTTTTAGATGTTACTAATTACAGCAATTACAGCACTTTCACAGAAGTGGGAGGTGTAGTTGGTGTCCTTCTTGTTAATCTAAACTTTCAAAAAAACAGATGTTCTGTCAGTGAATTGCTCCCTGTCTTCCCATTACTTGGAAATGTGCAGCAGTAATAAATTTGAGCCACTTGTGATTCCACGTATGTTTGCACTTGTAGTGGATCCCAACAGTCGCAGCATACTGCGGAAGATGGAGCTGTGTCAGTGAATTCTCCTGCAAGATCTAAGGTTCCAATTTACTATAAAATGAAACCGGAGTCTGGTGACATTTACATTGCAAATTGGTCATAGAAGTTCTAGGCGGAGCTGGTCTTGATGCTTATAGTTAAGGTTGCCCAGCTCTTCCCATTATTAGTCCCTGTTTTCAATTGCTTTTAACTTTGCCAAATTTAAACCATTTGGTCTTTAATTTTCCATGTCGGGTGTTTGCATCAATTTGTTTTGGAAAGCTTCAAGTAAAACTATTCAGCTATTTCTGAGAAAGAGATTAGAGAAAAAAATAACACTTTTTTGCTCATGTTTATTAAAAAAAAAAAATACGTACAGCTCTTCCGCTGAGAAGCTAAGCTCCAGAACCTCCTTGCTTTGGAGCAGGGATTTGAACTTCGACAAGGAATTTGCACTGGTGTCAGGGATGTGCCTTTTGTCACGCTGAGCAGGACTTTCCCTGTATTTGCACCTTTCCTCAATGTGACTGCTTCTTCCTCCTCCTCTTCCATGATGCTTAGATGGCAGGAGGGGGCCATTAAGAACACAGGAGAGCCAGTCTCCCTGCCCTCTGGTCCTGTGCCTGGTGCCAGAGCAGCCCCTTCCTATGTAATCTTAATTCAGCCCCCTCATGTATATGCGTAATGAAACAGTCTTTAATTACATGATTGCACAGTATTATTTCCACAGGACCCTAGACATATTCACCATCCAGCCTATGCACTGCTTTGGGAATGCCCCAGTGGTTCCCTGTCACTTTCTTCTTGCCCCGTTCAGCCCTGAGATGAGTGTCAGAGATACTCCCCTACCCACAGCAGGATGGAAGAGGAGCATAAATGAGCCCTGACTTCCTTGTTGAGCATTGGCTGCATGCTGCAGGAGCTCAGCACCTCTTCTTTTCCTTCTGATTAGTGCCAGGCTCAACCTCAGTTCTGCTCCCACTGCATAACTGGTCCATAGGTGTGGCTGCAAGGAAGAGGAGCTGCTACTTCCAACTTCATAGGGTTATGTGCTGCCAGATCTCCAGTTGTAGGCCTGGGCCACAGCTCTTGGCTATTGCTGCCTGATGGTAACTGTTTTTTTTTTTTTTTTTTTTTTTTTAATGGATTCTAAACACAATGCTGATAGCACTTTTCTAGTTCTTACTTGCAGAGAATCTCAAAGCACTTTGCAAACAGGGAATTCCAGTCCTGTGACATAGGTAAGGGTCCCCATTTTACAGAGAGAGAAGTTGAGGCACAGCCAAAGGTCGAAGCCTACCCCCAGGTCAGATACTGAACGTCAGCAGCACTGAGGCAGTGTCAGAAAATAAAAACTTCTACACTACTAGAGATTTTTGACTGTTCCAAAGTTTGTGGATAACAGAACAGCACAGAGAGATTCTGTTCCTTCCATACAAGTCAGCTCAGGTAAGGTATGTATCAGCCCAGGACTGTTACAGCAAGAGCTCCATTATACATCCCCAGATCTTTTTTGTATTGCTTAAATAGTCCTGTACCAACTACAGTGCTTCTGCAGTGTTTTTTCATTATGCAAATGTGTTTAGTAATGATAGGTCTGCAAATACCACATAAGCCACGTGGTTTCTCAAAACAAAACCTAGCATCAAGAATTTTATTGATGTTCTGTGGGCCTGACTCCTCATCTAATGTAAAGTCAATGGAGTTTCATTAGTGTGAAAGGAAAATCAGGCCCTATATATGGATTATGGATTAACCCTTTCTGAATGCTCTTAACATGATTTAGATACTGTTTGAAAATGGGAAAATAATCCCTTCCTACCATAGTTCAAAAAGTGTTATGACTTATTGGGTTTTGAATGTAAAGTTGACTCATTTTTGCAAGACAAAGCCAGGGTTTTTCCAATTTTATGCAATAACAAAGAATTAGCCTTATTTGTGAGTCATCCCTCTCACCCATGCAGAAACAGCCTGAGGGTTGGCTTGTGCAGCAAGGATGTACCATTTATTCTAAATGGGCTGGCAGAAAAAATACCTTTTTACATGTAAAGTGAGCACGTTTGATCCAGAAGCCATTGAGAGTATTCACAGAACTGCCCGATGCTATTTTTACTAGCACAGATCCAGGAGGCATGGATCCCTCCCCCTGTCTGGCACAGCATTTTGTTGTGACCTTGGCCAACAAAGGCGCAAACTCTCAAACAGCCTTTACTTTTGGGCACCAAAAATGGGGGCAACCAAATGTTCGATCCCAAAATTTGATTTTTCACAGTACAAAATGCTGACAACTCCGGTTCATTAGGAGCTGCACATTCTCAATTTCTCTGAAAAATCAGGCTCTGCGTGTCTAAAATTGGACACCTACAGTCAAGGCACCACAGGTTACAGATCACTTTTTAAAATGTGTCCATAACCTCCTTGTGCCTCAGTTCCTTCTTCTGGGGATAATGCAATCTACCTGGCAATAGTGTTACGAGGCTAAATTCATCAGTGTTTGTAAATCACTTTAAGGTGCTCTGATGGAAGGTGCTATAAAAGTTGCAATATGTTGTTCTACTATAACTAGTGTAACACTCTAAATGTGACTCCAAGCAAAAGGAAAGGAGTAATCAGAATGTATTTAGTGCTCTGATGATTAGCAAATATAGCCTGTATTTTGTAAATCATAATCTTTTATGTTTGCATTAATACAGAAATTCAGGAGAGCTTCTTTAGGTTCAAAAGCATTATGGATATACTTTGTGTCAGTGCTTGTCACAGGATGACTAATGAGATTAATAGCAGTGTAAATATATGTGATAGTTGTAAATGATGAAGCAACTATAACAGAATTTTAATTCTCGAAGGGCAGCTGCAGGTTTTACTCCTGCAAATCCCCTCCTCGTTAAGGAGAATTCATTTGTGACTTTACAGTTAGAAA